GTTGACCAGGATGGTCTTGATCTCTCAACCTCGTGATCCACCCACCTCGGCCTCCCAAAGTGCTGGGATTACAGGCTCGAGCCACCACGCCCAGACTCAGAACGGTTTTAAAATCATCAGGAGTGAAAAAAATAGACAAAGGCACAGGAATCAGAATGACTTCAGATTTCTCATCAGCAACAGCAACTGGGGAGGGTCAATCTGAGGGAAGCTTTGTTGTTGTTGTTGTTTTGAGACAGGGTCTTGCTCTGTTGCCCAGGCTGGAGTGCAGTGGCACGATCACAGATCGCTGCAGCCCCGACATCCTGGGCTCAGGCAATCCTCCCACCTCAGCCACCTTAGCTTCCCAAGTAGCTGAAACTACAAGTGTGTGCCACTATACCTGGCTAATTTTTTTTTTTTTTTTTTTTTTTTTTGGTGGTGGGGGGAATTTAACTGTGTTCCCCAGGCTGGTCTCAAACTCCTGGGCTCAAGTGATCCTCCTGCCTCGGCCTCCCGACATGCTGGGATTATAGGCATGAGCCAGCATGTTTAGCCAGATAGCTTATTTCTAATGCAGTGTTATATACCCAGCCAATCCAACATGTGGTCAAAAAAGATATTTTTAGACTTTCCAAGACAAAACAAGGGAGTACACAAAGAAAGAAGAAGATGTGAGAGCCAGGGAATGGGCATCTGTCAGAAAAACCTAGCAAGAGGAAATCCCAGGACATTTGCATACCAGCTTTAGTGAGCAGCCAGTCTAAACTGTAGTAGAAAGAGATTTGTGGGACAGAGGTTTCCAGGGAAAAGATGGAATTAATCAGTTATGGATTAAACATTTCTAAAAATAATTGCTACATATTTGGAACATTTGGAAAAAAAAAATAGCCCTTGCTACTTCAAACAATAGGAAAAAAGAAATAACAATTTTTATTATTTTTTTTTTAATGGGGGTTTCACCAAGATGGCCAGGCTGGTCTTGAACTCCTGACCTTAGGTGATCCACCCACCTCGGCCTCCCAAAGTGCTAGGATTACAGGCGTGAGCCACCGCACCTGGCCAGAAATGACAATTATTAACTCCAGGTAAAACCAAACTGTAAGAAAAAAATGTAATAGTAGTTTGCTACTTGGGTGAAGAGTTTATTTACTTGATCAATCATATAAACATGCCGGGCGCAGTGGCTCATGCCTGTAATCCCAGCATTTTGGGAGGCTGAGGCGGGCAGATCACTTGAGCTCAGGAGTTCAAGACCAGCCTGGCCAAAAGAGCGAAACCCCATCTCTACTAAAAATACAAAAATTAGCCAGGGGTGGTGGCACATGCCTGTAATCCCATCTACTTGTGAAGCTGAGGCAGGAGAATCACTGGAACCTGGGAGGCAGAGGCTGCAGTGAGCTGAGATCATGCCACTGCACTCCAGCCTAGGTGACAGAGTGAGACTCCATCTCTAAAAAAATAATAATGTAAACACTTGATTTAACTATAACTTATGGGAAATTATGTTGTGAGGATAGAGAAAAAATGGGAGCCAGAGTGGTACAATAAAACTGATTCCTCCGCTGAGCAAGGCGGCATGCACCTTTAGCCCCAGCTACTCAAGAGGCTGAGGCAGGAGGACTGCTTGAGGCCAGAAGTTTGAGGCTGCAGTGTGCTGTGATCATACCTGTGAGTAGCAACTGCAACTCCAGCTTGGGCAACATAGTGAGACCTCATCTCAGAAAAAAAAAAAAAAAAAAATGAAGACCTAATTCCTCAACTGCCAGAATGATAAATACACCAAGATTGCCTAAGGTTGATGCATCCAATGATAGCTGTGCATTAGTTTGCTAGAGCTGCCATAACAAAGTGTTATAGACTAGGTTATCTAAATGACAGAAATTCATCATCTCACAGTTCTGGAGGCTGGAAGGCTGAGATCAAGATGTCACAGTGTTGATTTCCTCTGAGGCCTCTCTCCTTGGCTTGCAGATGGCCATGTTTTACCTGTGTCTTCACCCGGTTTTCTCTCTGTGTGTGTCTGTATCCTAATCATCTCTTCTTATAAGGACACCAGTCATATAGGATAAGGGCCCACCCTAATGACACAATTTAAACCTAATTTCCTCTTTAAAGACCGTATCTGCAATTACAACCACATCCCGAGGTACTGGTGGTTAGGACTTCAACACAGGAATTTGGGGGAAACACAGTTCAGCCCATAGCAAGTAGTATAAGCTTGTTACTTGGAAATACAGAGGTAAACAGCAGAAGAAATAGCCAAAAGAGTTTAAAGGGGCCTTCTCTGTGAGGAGAGACTGGGGGCAGCAAGGGGTGAGACAGGTGCTATTACTATTTGATTTTTTTCAAAATAGCAAGTGGCGGAGCTGAGCTTTGAACCCAGTCTGACTCCAAATCTCGTGTTCTTCCACTCTCCCAAGATTAGGAGCTCCTCTGGGGCCCTGCAGCACCGTATTCATCTCTGCGTCTCCTGCTGTACCTTATACAGAGCCACACTATGGGCCTTCACCACATGTATAAGATTTACAGCTGCATCACAGTGATTTTTAAAGCAGCCATTTGTTGATGTTTCTTTTCCTGTCTCCAAAGAAGACAGGGGAGACTGAGGTCCAAGGAAACATCAAGGAGCCGTAACGTGGAGTCCCCTTGGTGTCCTGGAATTGCTAGATGCATCTCAAATAGCACATTGAGTTTTGATACCAGAAAGCGCCCATTCAAGGCAGGGCAGGGGCCCAGGGTGCTTTCTTGCCTGATAAAGCTAGTGGTGGTGTCTCAACCTCACCTCCCTGGGGTCTAGAATAGCCATTCACCTCCATTTTCTTGATGTTAGTTTGGCTGTTGAAGGCAGCCACAGCCTCCCTACGTTATTCTCAGACTTATGACTGCAATGACATTCATAGTGATTGATGCTTGATCCCATGAGGGGGTTTGGTCATTTTTGTGTTTAGGTTGGTCCACAGTCATTCACCTGGTTCTTAAGGCCAGCTAGATTTCATGGTTGTCTCCATCCTGGAGGCAGCGTGGACGCCCTTCTGGAAGCACACACTCCATGTCCTCTGGGGAGCAGTAGAGGTTGGGGTGTATGTATGTCTGTCTCCGCATGCCTCAGATTATTGCTTCCTAATAAAATTCTGATAGCTGGGCCCCATCAATATCTCAAATACATGTGAGGAAACGTTAATTTAGAATCAATTTTAGGATGTTTCAGACTGTAAAGTCCTTTTAACTAGATCTCTGGCGAAGATGTAGAAGCACTTTATGGGACTGTAAATTTCATGTTGAACAGTCTTCGTGAAATACACATCTCTCCTACACACAAGCTGTTCTCTCCATATCAATCATGGCCCCTGCAAGTAATGTTTCACAAATATTCTGTAAATCACAGAAAACCCCATGATAATGTGAAATATGACTTTCACTTGTCTGTTAGACAAAAGAATCGCACATGCCTCTCTCCCATCAGCACTAACATTTGTTATGGATAATAACACTTTCAATCACAACTATTTTTGGAAAACGGGTTTATCTTAAACCTTCCCTCCCCCACTGAAAACACTCTCCCAAGGACACAGACTCCTACAAACCACAGCCCATTAATCCAACTATGGAATGGAACTTTTTCTTCCCACTAACTTTTTTTTAAGTTGTTTTTAAGAGTTAGTATAAAAGCCCAAGGTACAAGTTTAAGGAGCACTTTAACTTAGGTGATTGGCATAAGAGGGAGGCCACGTCTCTCAAGACCTCAAGCCTCTGACCCTGTATGAAGTAAGCCACAAAAGAGGTCTAGGTTTTGTTTTTTAGTTTTTTTGTTTGAGACAGTGTCTTGCTCTGTTCCCAGGCTGGATGATCTTGGCTGACTGCAACCTGCCTCCCAGGTTCAAGAGATTTCTCCTGCCCTAACCTCCTGAGTAGCTGGGATTACAGGCAACCATTTTAGTTTTTGTGGGTTTTTTTGGTTGTTGTTTTTTTGTTTTTTTTTGTTTTTTTTGAGACGGAGTCTTGCTCTGTTGCCCAGGCTGGAGTGCAGCGGTGTGATCTCAGCTCACTGCAACCTCTGCCTCCCCATTTCAAGCCATTCTCCTATCTCAGTAAAAGGATTACAGGGGTGTGCTATCACACCCAGCTAATTTTTGTATTTTTAGTAGAGATGGGGTTTCACTATGTGAGCCAGGCTGGTCTCCAACTCCTGACCTCCTGATCCACCTGCCCTGGCCTCCCAAAGTGCTGGGATTACAGGTGTGGGCCACTGCACCCGGTCCAATTTTTGTATTTTTAGTAGAGACAGGGTTTCATCATGCTGGCCAGGCTGGTTTCAAACTCCTTACCTCAGGCGATCCGCCTGCCTGGGCCTTCCAAAGTGCTGGAATTACAGGCGTGAGCCACCACACCTGTCCTTAGCAAGCACTTTTATCTCAACTGGATGCTGTGGTCTTTTAGTTGCTGGCATCAGGAGAGAAGCCAAAGGGCTAAAATTTTTGTTTTTTTGTTTTTTGTTTTTGAGATGGAGTCTTGCTCTGTAGCCAGGGCTGGAGTGCAGAGGCATGATCTCAGCTCACTGCAACCTCCACCTCCCGGGCTCAAGTGATTCTCCTGCCTCAGCCTCCGAGTAGCTGAGATTATGGGCACCCACCACTACGCCCAGCTAATTTTTTGTATTTTTAGTAGAAATGGGGTTTCACCATGTTGGCCAGGCTGATCTCAAACTCCTGACCTCATGATTTGCCCACCCCAGCCTCCCAAAGTGCTGGGATTACAGGTGTGAGCCACCGCACCCGACCGAAATTTTAGTTTTTAAAGAGCATACATTTAGCACATTGATATTGTTAATCCCATTACACTCCAGCTAGAGCCTCCCGGTTCAAGCAGCAGGTGACCAGTCCCAGAGTATATTTTGCACATAACTACACCCACGTGTGTGATACAGCCACACCCTGCCTCCAATTGATTGCTAGTAAAACAATGGAGTTGCATGATTCTAAACATTCTGGTAACCTGTCTGTTTTTCCCTCCCTCTGTAGCCAGCTCCAGGACTGATTGATCATGACTTCTATAAAGGAGCAGGCAGCAATTAGCAGGCTCTTAAGTTTTTTACAAGAGTGGGACAACGCTGGCAAAGTTGCAAGGAGTCACATCCTTGACAAGTTCATTGAAACCAACCAAGGCAAGACTGCCCCTGAACTGGAGCAGGAGTTTTCCCAGGGAGCCAGTTTGTTCCTGATACGCTTGACCACCTGGCTTAGAATCACGTATCCTTTGCTGAACAGAAAAAAAATTAGGCAATCTTCAAAAATGAAAAGGAAAGGAGGTTGTCGAAAGAGTTTTCTCTTGATTCTAATATTTTAGAACAGGACATCTAGTGATTTAAAAAAAAAAAAAAGGGGGGTGGGATAAAAAAAATCCTTAGAGTCAAGCACTCTCTCAGCTTCCCATCTTCCCAACCTATAATTGTATCTTCTTTCTCACCCCTAATCTCTTGATCCCATCAGAGTTGAAGTAGGTATACCTTCATCTAGGGCTAATCCTCTGTTCTTCACTTGAACCTCTTCCTATCTCCTTATTCTTTCTCTCCTACAGCTTTAACCTTTACCTCATTACCAGTGTTTTTCAGCATTTATATATGCTGAAACCTCTTCTACTTTAAAAAATAAAATTGAATCCCTGTCTCAAATCTATATTCCATCCAATCCCAGTTTCTGCCTTTCATGGTGAAATTTCTATTTTTTTTTTTTTTAAGACAGTCTTTCTCGTGGCCCAGACTGGAATGCAATGGCATGATCTTGGCTCACCACAAGCTCTGCCTCCCGGGTTCAAGCTATTCTCCTGCCTCAGCCTCCCAAGTATCTGAGACTACAGGCATGAACCACCATGCCCAGCTAACTTTTGTAGTTTTAGTAGAGATGGGGTTTCACCATGTTGGCCAGGCTGATCTCAAACTCCTGACCACAAAATGCTGGGATGATAGGCGTGCACCCCAATGAAGCTTCTTGAAAAGGTTGTTTAGAGGCCTGGTGCAGCGGCTCACACCTGTAATCCCTGCACTTTGGGAGGCCATGGTGGGTGGATCACCTGAGGTCAGGAATGCGCAACCAGCCTGGCCAAGATGGTGAAACCTTGTCTCTACTAAAAATACAAAAATAAGCTGGGCGTGGTAGCAGGCACCTGTAATCCCAACCACTCAGGAGGTTGAGGCAGGAGAATCACTTGAACTCGGGAGGCAGAGGTTGCAGTGAGCCGATATCACACCATTGCACTCCAGCCTGGGCCAGAGAGAAACTCTGTCTCAGAAAATTTAAAAAAAAAATTTTTTTTTAAATAAAGGTTGTCGAGTCTCCCTTTCTTCACTTCCTCTCCTCCCTTTTTTCCACTCACTGCCACCTGACTTCAATGCCTCCCACTCTACTGATGCAGGTCTTACTAAGGTTACCCATGTTTTTCCAGTTGGAAAACCCAGGGACTGCATCCTCAGTCCTTATATGGGACCTCTCAGTGGGATTTGTCAGTCACCTTTCCCACTTCTTAGAACAGTCCTGATTTCTGTGATACTGATTATCTTGGTTTCTGTGCATTTCCTGCTCTTCTTCAGCCATCCCTTAAATGCTGTTCCTTGGGATTCCATCCTCGTCCCTCTTCTCTGCTCACTCTCAGATTCTTCCTGAGGGACTAATCTATTGTCAAGATTCAACACCACTCTTGTATGAGGGCTTTCAAATAAGTATCCCTGGCCAGGCGCAGTGGCTCACGCCTATTATCCCAGCACTTTGGGAGGCCGGGGCAGGAAGATCACCTGAGGTCTGGAGTTCAAGCCCAGCCTGACCAACATGGAGAAACCCCATCTCTACTAAAAATACAAAATTAGCTGGGCATGGTGGCGCATGCCTGTAATCTCAGCTACTCAGGAGGCTGAGGCAGGAGAATCACTTGAACCCAGGAGGCAGAGGTTGTGATGAGCTGAGATCATGCCATCGCACTCCAGCCTGGGCAACAAGAGTGAAAAACAAAACAAAAAACAAATAAGTATCCCTGCCCAAATTTCTCTCTTGAATCTGAGTTCCCTAACTATATATCCAACTATTCCATACCCATATATCCGTCTTCACTCATATGCCACAAGATGAGGCTCACATGTCTGGCTTAGTAAACTAGGGGAATAGGGTGCCATTATGTGGAAGAGAACATAAGAAAAGGAGTAAGTTTGGGGGTAGATAAGTTTGGTTTGGGACATGTTGAGTTTGAGAGGTCAGGTGCCCACTATCACGTCCAGGATCCCTGGAGGCAGGTCAAGGCTGAAGACAGATTTGGTCACCATCAAGGTGATAGTTCAAGTTATACGTGGATTTGAGGATATTCCTGCTCTGTGTGCCCATGGCACTCTACAGATTCATCTCGTACCCTTTTACTGTATATTTCTCTCCTTGCCTGAACCCTCTCACCTCTAAAACCTCTCCTTGAGCCATGCTCAGTGGCTTACACCTATAATCCCAGCTACTTGGGAGGCTGAAGTGGGAGGATCACTTAGGCCTTGGAGTTTGAAGCTGCAGTGAGCTGTGATCACACCACTGTGCTCCATCCTGGGCAACAGAACAAGACCTTATCTCTATAAAAGTAAATAAACAAACCCCCTCCTTATTTGACCAACTCCTACTCTATTATTCAGGTCTCAGTTTAAACATCACTTTCTCAGGAAGCACATTTCTGAGCTCCAGGCTGGCTTAGGTTCCGTTTTTATATATGCTCATAGACTTCCACTGTCTTAATAGTCATTACATGTTATTGTTATTACCTGCTTAATATCTCTGTTTCCCCCCACTGGATTGTAAGATCTCTGAAGGCAAGAACTGCATCTGTTCTACTTACCTCTATATTTCTAACATGTAGCACAGTGCCTGGCACAGCTTTGCTCAGTAAAGGAATGAATGACCCAGCATCTACAGCTGGACGGAATTAAAGGTTTAAGTAAACACAGCTCTTTTTCTTACATTTAAGTTATTTGATAAAATTATTTTTCAGACTCAGGCTTGTAACACGGGCCAAAGGGAATAACCACAGAATACATCTGTAGGTTTACCCAAATGTTCTTAGATTTTTTTACTTTCATTTTTTGAGACAGGGTCTTGCTCTGTTGCCCAGGCTGGAGTACAGCAGCGCAATCATAGCTCACTGCAGCCCCAAACACCTGGACTCAAGGGATCCTCTCACCTCAGCTTCCCAAACTGCTAGGACTGTAGGTGTGCACCACCACACCCAGCTAATTTTTCTGTTTTTAAAATTTTTGTAGACATGGGGTCTTGCTGTATTGCCCAAGCTGTTCTCAAACTCCTGGCCTCACACGATCTTCCCACCTCAGCCTCCTAAAGTGCTGGGACTACAGGTGTGAGCCACCACACCCAGTCTGTTCTCAGATATAATTGTGCATAAAAGAAGTTTAAAATGCAGATTGCCAGTTACCTACTCACCCCTACCCAGAAGGTTCTGCTTTAGTAGATTGAGGGTGGGACCCTGGACCCTTATTTCTAACAAGTACTCGGTGTGGCTTTAGTGCCAGTGGTCCACAGGTTATGCTTTGAGAAACATTGCAGCCTAGTTGTGATAGGAGCCTAAAACGGCTCCTATCCCCACAACTCATGACACTAACCTCACCAAGGCCCTAGCTTTGCTGCCAAATCTCCAGTTCCTTTATCCTTCCTTGTCTTACTGGACAATATTTTCCATTTGGCCGCAGGGTAAGATGAGTAAGGCAGGGTCGCACAGGTGCAGGGTCAGATCCGTCCATTGAACACTGTGATGTTTTACTCATCTCATGGATATTTGTTGTTGTTTGAGACAGAGCCTCACTCTCACTCTGTCACCCAGGCTGGAGCAGTGGTGCCATCACAGCTCACTGCAGCCTCAACCTCCCAGGCTCAGGCCATCCTCCCACCTCAACCTCCCGAGTGGCTGGGACTGCAGGCATGCACCACCATACCCCTAGCTAATTTTATTTTATTTTTTGTAGGGACAGGATCTTGCTGTTGCTATTTCCCAGGCTGGTCTCAAACTCCTGGGCTCAAGCAACCCTCCCACCTTGACCTTCCAGAGTGCTGGGATTAAAGTTGTGAGCTACCCACCATGCCTGGGCCATGGACTTTTTAATATTAATTTGATTATTTTATTTTATTTTATTTTATTTTATTTCATTTATTTTTGAAACGGAGTTTCGCTTTGTTACCCAGGCTGGAGTGCAATGGCACGATCTCGGCTCACCGCAACCTCCGCCTCCTGGGTTCAGGCAATTCTCCTGCCTCAGCCTCCTGAGTAGCTGGGATTACAGGCACATACCACCACGCCCAGCTAAATTTTTTTGTATTTTTAGTAGAGACGGGGTTTCACCATGTTGACCAGGATAGTCTCGATCTCTTGACCTTGTGATCCACCCGCCTCGGCCTCCCAAAGTGCTGGGATTACAGGCGTGAGCCACTGCGCCAGGCTGATTATTTTAAATAGTACATTGAAATATTATTTGACGACTGAGTTTTTTGGTGCCCCTTTAAATTTCAGATCCCGAGCAAGTACCTTCCTCACCTCACCCTAGTTCTGGCCTTGCTTGACCACTGCCTCTTCTTCTTCTTTTTTTTTGAGACAGTCTGTCACCAGGCTGGAATGCAGTGGCACCATCTCAGCTCACTGCAACCTCTGCCTCCCAGGCTCAAGCGATTCTCCTGCCTCAGCCTCCTGAGTAGTTGGGACTACAGGCATGCACCACCATGCCCAGATAATTTTGTGTTTTTACTAGAGACAGGGTTTCACCATGTAGGCCAGGACGGTCTTGATCTCTTGACCTCGTGATCCGCCCTCCTTGGCCTCCCAAAGTGCTGGGATTACAGGTGTGAGCCACGGTGCCTGACCCGACAGCCTCTTCTTTAACTGTCCTCTCTTCTACCTTCTCCCGCTGTTTCTCGGTTGCTATTGCAGGATCTCTCCCACCCCAATTCCCCACTTAAACATCAGTGTGTCTGAGCATTCTGTGTTCAGCCCGCTGCTTTTCTTACTTGGTCATTGCACTTATTACATTAGGCATTACATTATTCTTCATTTCTCAAGTGTCAATCATAGTGCCTTACGTTTAGGAGGTACTCAGTGCTTACTAAATGAATGAACCATGCTTTGCTTTTCTTTTTTTTCCTATTTTTCTTTTTTTTATGTTTTTCATTTTTATTCTGCACTTATTGGTAAGATACTTGCAATGAACCATGCTTTTAATAAACAGTTGTAGATTCAGTATTCTACACCCAGAATTATTCATGATCTCCCAACCTTTTGCAAACTTGTCATACAACAGAGAAAATAGACTGCCTGAATTGATACAGTGTTTTGAATTAGCAAAAACCCACTTCTCCTACCCAGCCCTCCAGTTATAGCATATTTTGGAAGAAAACAATATAGCATCATAGCATCATTATTTTTTGCAAAATTGACTACCACATAGTCCCACATAAGACTAAACCCTTTTTTCAACCTTGAACTTTCAGAATAGATGAGTAAAACTAAGGATTTATATATTAAATGATAAAATTGTTAGTTACCATTTATTGAGGGTTTTTTGTGTATGTGGGGGTTTTTTTGTTTCTGTTTTGTTTTGGTTTGGTTTGGTTTGGTTTTGAGATGGAGTCTCCCTCTGTCACCCAGGCTGGAGTGCAATAGCATGATCTCAATTCACTGCAACCTCCGCCTCCGGGTTCAAGCGATCCTCCTGCCTCAGTCTCCTGAGTAACTGGGATTACAGGTGCCCACTATCACGCCCAGCTAATTTTTGTACTTTTTTGGTAGAGATGAGGTTTCACCATGTTGGACAGGTTGGTCTCGAACTCCTGACCTCAGGTGATCCACCTTCCTCAGCTTCCCAAAGTGCTGGGATTACAGGTGTGAGCCACCTCACCCAGGCTATTTTTTTATGTTCTAGACACTCAGATATATACTGTACAAATATTATCTCATTTGGGCCTAACACCCAGTCTAATAGGTAATTGGTATTATTCCATTTCATAATAAGAAGATGAGCCTAGAAAAGGTTGAGTAATTTACTAGCAAATGGTAGATATAAGGTTAGAACCTTGTATATCTGCCCAAAAACCTATACACCATCGTGTTTCCTACTCAGTGGACAGTGCAGACCACAGCTCCACCTGCAACATCACACAGGGAGTTCATCTGCAAAGCCCCCTCCCTCCATTTGTCTACAAGCCAGAAGGCCTAACAGTAAAAGTTAGAATCGGAATCAGACTGCCTAGGTTCAAATCTTGGTTCCAGCAGTTCACTGTGGGACCTTGGACAAGTTATTGACCTGAGATTTTTACCTCATGTTACTCAGGAAGTAAATGGAAATACTAATAGCACCCACTGGAGGGCCGTGGTGAGGATTACATGAGACAATGCAAGCAAAGCAGTAAGCACAGTGCACACGACAGGAGCTGGTACTTGTCAGCCACTGCTGACCGTGTGGCCCCAATATTGCTCCTTTATCCCATGTTCTTAGATACAGGACTCAAACAATGTGTCCTGGAACTAATTCCTGGAAATATGTATAGTGAATGACGACGAAAACAAGACAAGCCGGGTGTGGTGGCTCACGCCTGTAGTCTCAAAACTCAGGGGAGGCAGAAGCAGAAGGATCACTTGAGCCCAGGACTTCAAAACCAGCATGGGCAACATAGCAAAACTCCATTCTCCATGAAAAGGAAGAAAAAAAAACAAACAAAAAACAAAGCTGGCACAGTGGCTTATGCCTATAATCCCAACGCTTTGGAAGGCAAGAGGATTGCTTGAATTCAGGAGATTAAAACCAGCCTGGGCAACATAGTGAGACCCCTGTCTCTACAAAAAATACAGGAAGAATAACAGCTGGACATGGTGCCACGTACCTGTAGTCCCAGCTACTCAGGATATTGAGACAGGAGGATCACTTGAGGCCACGAGTTCAAGGCTACAGTGAGCTGTGATTGCACCACTGTGCTCCCGCCTGGGCAACAGAATGAGCCCCTCTCTAAAAAAAAAAAAAAAAGAAAGAAAGAAAGAAAAAGAAAGACTAGCCCAGGACAAAGGAAACAGGAGGTGATAAAAGTTGGTCAGCCTAGCTGGAAACTGAAGAAAAAGTGGAGAATGCACTGAGGCAGGAACAGGGGCAGGGGTTGAGGGAGCGGGGTGGGGACAATGTAGGAATAAAAAGACCACCATGTGGGCTGATGCCTGGCCCTAGCTATGGCGGCAACAGGCAGGGCAGCCTGCCTCCAGAGCAAACACTATTTTTGCAGTAAAGAGCCTTTCCTAATGAGCCAATCTGTCTCTACTTCTATTGGCATCCTGGGAACCAGGGTGCAGCAGAGATAATTCGCTTCACACACACCCCCCCTCCACACCCAAACAAAGCACCATTACCTCCAACCCATTACATTAGCCTTTATCAGCCTTGGAGGCTCTCAGTCATCTTCCATGAGCTGCAATAATTTCAGCTAATTTCTTAAGTGTTCTAAGAGCCTCTGATGTGTTATGAGCCTAGTAATTGTTGACTGGTTCCTTTTCTGTTGTGGCTTGATTTCATACCTTGTATCTAAGCTGATGCGTGCTTTGGGTGCTTTATTATAATGAGGCTTTTTGCAAAGACTCACATTAAAAAATAACATTAAATACTGAGGTTGTTTTAAATCAGTTTAATTTTTCCACCATCTCCTATTATTCTTATTAGGAAGCCAATTCTTCACAAGGATAGTGACCTCCAGTGTAAAACTTTGAGTAAGTACAAAATTGAGAATTAATGATGAAGCTTGTTCTTTTTAGGGAAATCTAAGAATGAGACACAAAGTCATGAACTATGCTGAGACCAAGGATGCAGTGGGCACGGCTTAGAGAGGTTTGGGATCTTGACTTCCAGCTTCTCCAGAGACTCTGAATTTATCAGAGCCTCCTTGTTCCCTAGAGAGCCTGTCAGAGCCAAGGTGGCTAAAGTACCACAGAGGGGCTTCCTGGAGAACAGTGAACAGCCAGCACCCCTTCCCCCCAACCCTGTTTGCCACTTCCCATTCAGCTGGTGGCCCCTCTCAGGGTAAAGGGGCATAGTTCAGCTACTTGACCACCCTGGGCCACCCACCAGAGATCAGGCATGGGATCTGGCTTCTGTGTGAAAAACCACCCTGAAATTCACTCTTTAACTTCTCATACAGCTATATGACTGGTTGTTGTTTAGAAAAGCTTCTCAAGTCCATTGGCATCTTCCTATCAGCTGTAAGCAGGTGAGTGCTGTTCTAGCGTGCTTCTGGGGTCTCAGTGGCACCTCGGGCTCATGATGTCCTTGGCATTCACACCACCCAGGGCCATGGATTCCTGTTCCCAGTGGGCTCCTTGTAGCTCTCAGATGGGCCCAGAGGTAATGTCCACTGGGCTTCTGCTGTAGCTGCTCCTTCATCCCGTGCTCTCCAGTGACACTTTACTAGTCAATACCTCTCAGTTGTGAATTACAGAAAACCAACTCATGTTGGACTCAGAAAAAGGAAAATTATTGGCTCACTTAACTGGAAAAACCCAGAGAGAAGAAATATATATTTCAGGCCTGACTAGATCCAGGCCCAAACAATTTCATTAGTACTTGGTCTCCCCCTCCATCTTTTCCCATATTTCTGTCTCTTCTCCTCCGTGTTCATAAACCTCTGAGTGCCGTGGTCTTCAGAAGCTCCAGACACACTAAAAAAGGAGCAGATCCTTTCCACAGCTTCCCAAGAAAGTCCCAGGCTTTCAGCATCATTGGACCAATTTAGGTCTCATGCCCAGCCCCAAACCAATTTCTACAGTCAAAAGGGTGACATACCCTGTCACCTCCTCACCCCACCAAAACTACATGGCCCATGAGTGACAGAGGGGTGATTCCCCAAGTGACAGTTGAGGTGCTATTACAAGAAGGAGAGGCTGGGCGTGGTGGCTGACTCCTGTAATCCCAGCACTTTGGGAGGCTGAGGTGGGTGGATCACGAGGTCAGAAGCTCGAGATCATCCTGGCCAACATGGTGAAACCCAATCTCTACTAAAAATACAAAAATTAGCCAGGCATGGTGGCAGGCGCCTGTAATCCCAGCTACTCGGGAGGCTGAGGCAGGAGAATTGCTTGAACCCGGGAGGTGGAAGTTGCAGTGAGCCAAGATCACACCACTGCACTTCAGCATGGTGACAAGGGCAAAACTGTCTCAAAAAATAAAAAAATAAAAAGAAGAAAGAGAACAGATGCTGGAATGCCAAAACCAAGAAATGTCCCTAGTATCTAATTCCAGTATCTCCTGCTGGAAGGAAGAATTTCTACACTCTTGTATCACTTTACCTGTGGACATTTCCCTGGATAGGAGGGCACAGTCTGTGAAGGGTCCTTAGGATCTCTTTGAAAGGTCAGTGCAAAGGAACTTCACAAGAGTTTTATTTCTACTTTTCTATCCCTCTGGACAGTAATCGGTACCTTAGAGAATTTCTTGAGGTTGGAGGTGTCCTAACACTCTTGGAAATACTTGGGCTGGAGAAGATCACGGAGGAGGCCAAGAAGGAGTCCGTCAAACTACTTCAGGTTATTGCAAACTCTGGCAGGAAGTACAAGGAGCTCATTTGTGAAAGCTATGGTGGGTACCGTGTATGACAAGCTGTGGCTCCCTAGTGGCCTCGATGAAATGGTGGTAGCATCCACCACTACTGTAGGAAAACACATCATAGAACTGGAAGAACAGGAAACTTTGTGTGTTCCTGTCCACGTCCAGATTTATGATTCTCCTGATTCATCATTTGCTCAGATTTTTCAGTGGTGGTTTTAGAAATACTTCTCCTTTTTAAACATATCCTCTTTGAGGCATCTATTCAAAGATTTGTTGAGCTGTGGCCCAGTATCTTTTGTGAAATTGAGTTATGAATAACTCTAGACATAAAATCAAAGGGCAGGCGCGGTGGCTTATGCCTGTAATCCCAGCACTTTGGGAGGCTGAGGTAGGTGGATCACCTGAGGTCAGAATTTTGAGACCAGCTTGGCCAACATGGTGAAACCCCATCTCTACTAAAAATACAAAAATTAGCCTGGTGTGGTGATGCATGCCTATAGTCCCAGCTACTCAGGAGGCTGAGGCAGGAGAATCACTTGGACCTGGGAGACAAAGGTTGCAGTGAACTGAGAACTCACCACTGCATTCCAGCCTGGGCTACAGAGCAAGACTCTGTCTCCAAAAAAACAAAAATAAAAAATAAAAATAAAAAACAAAGAAAAGCAAAAAGAGCCAGGCGCGGTGGCTCAAGCCTGTAATCCCAGCACTTTGGGAGGCCGAGGCGGGTGGATCACGAGGTCAAGAGATCGAGACCATCCTGGTCAACATGGTGAAACCCCATCTCTATTTCAAAAAAAAAAAATACAAAAAATTAGCTGGGCATGGCGGCACGTGCCTGTAATCCCAGCTACTCAGGAGGCTGAGGCAGGAGAATTGCCTGAACCCAGGAGGTGGAGGTTGCGGTGAGCCGAGATCGTGCCATTGCACTCCAGCCTGGGTAACAAGAGTGAAACTCCGTCTCAAAAAAAAAAAAGAAAAGCAAAAAGAAATAAAATTATTGAATACCTGCTGTGTGCTAGATGTATACCAGGGATACAAAATACCTGCTGTGTGCTAGATGTGCTAGGGATACAAAAATGAATACAATACAGTCCTATCCTCAGAGAGTTTATAGGCTGGTGAGAAAAGTATAATCTAGTATTTTTTTTTTTTTTTTTTTTTTTGAGACAGAGTCACATTCTGTCGCCCAGGATGGAGTACAGTGGCACAATTTCAGCTCACTGAAACCTCTGCCTCCCGGGTTCAAGCAATTCTCATGCCTTAGCCTCCCAAGTAGCTAGAATTACAGGCATGTACCACCATGCCTGGCTAATTTTTATTATTTTTAGTAGAGGCAGGATATGGCCATGTTAGCCATGGCTGGTCTCGAACACATGAGCTCAAGTGATCCACCCACCTTGGCCTCCCAAAGTGCTGGGATTACAGGCATGAGCCACCACGCCTGTCTCAATCATTTTTTTTTTCCTTGGGACAGAGTATCACTATGTCACCCAGGCTGGAGTGCAATGGTCTGATCTCAGCTCACTTCAATCTCCGCTTCCTGGGTTCAAGCAATTCTCCTGCCTCAGATTCCTGAGTAGCTGGGATTATAGGTGCAGACCACCATGCCAGCTAATATTTTCTAATTTTAGTAGAGACGGGGTTTCACCATGTTGGCCAGGCTGGTCTAGAACGGTCTAGAACTCCTCACCTCTTTTTTTTTTTTTTTTGAGACGGAGTTTCGCTCTTGTTACCCAGGCTGGAGTGCAATGGCGCGATCTCGGCTCACCGCAACCTCCGCCTCCTGGGTTCAGGCAATTCTCCTGCCTCAGCCCCTGAGCAGCTGGGATTACAGGCACGCGCCACCATGCCCAACTAATTTTTTGCACCTTTAGTAGAGACGGGGTTTCACCATGTTGACCAGGATGGTCTCGATCTCTTGACCTCGTGATCCACCGCCTCGGCCTCCCAAAGTGCTGGGATTACAGGCTTGAGCCACCGCGCCCGGCGCTCCTCACCTCTTGATCCACCCACCTCAGCCTCCCAAAGTGCTGGAATTACAGGCATGAGCCACCACACCCAGACCCGACCCAATAATTTTAATATAATCTATGAAGTACTCCAAGTGAGGCGTGTAAAAGAGATACCATCACCCACATCTCCCTTTTTCTTTCTTTCTTTTTGTTTTTTTTGTTTGTTTGTTTGAGTTGAAGTCTCACTCTGTTGCCCAGGCTGACGTGCAGTGGCGCAATCTCAGCTCACTGCAACTTCTGCCTTCTGGGTTCAAGTGAGTCTCCTGCCGCAGCCTCTCAAATAGCTGCGACTACAGGTGCCTGCCCCAACGCCCAGCTGACTTTGGTATTTTTAGTAGAGATGGGGTTTCACCACATTGGCCAGGCTGATCTCGAATTCCTGACCTTGTGATCCGCCTGCCTCGGCCTCCCAAAACTCTGGGATTACAGGAGTGAGCCACCAAGTCTGGCCTTTTTTATTTATTTATTTTTTTTTTTTTTGAGATGGAGTCTTGCTCTGTTGACCAGGCTGGAATGTAGTGGCACGATCCCGGCTCAGTGCAACCTCTGCCTCCTGGGTTAAAGCAATTCTTCTGCTTCAGCCTCCCAAGTAGCTGGGGTTACAGGCACCCACCACCATACCCAGCTAATTTTTTTATTTTAGTAGAGATGGGGTTTCACCATGTTGACCAGGCTGGTCTCGATCTCTTGACCTCGTGATCCACCCGCCTCGGCCTCCCAAAGTGCTGGGATTACAGGCTTGAGCCACCGCGCCCGGCCTTGATTAAGTGAGTTAATATTTGTAAAACCATTTTGCAAACTGCTGAGTAGTATACAAGTGTTATCATATAGCAATAAAAATGCATGTTTTATTTGTAAATTGTGCAGAGCCATTTTAAATTTTAAAACACAGATTTTGGCATGCCTGTGCTGCAACAAAATCCTCCAGCCACATAGCTCTGAGGTAAACAAGCTATAAGGTAAACAACATGAGAACCAAGCCTCAATTTTGCTTTGGTTCATCGGGCTTGGTTGAAGCACTCTTAATCCTATTCATATTATGTAATCTTGACTGGGGATTGTTTTCATAAATCCCTTCCAATTCAGCATTTCCTCTCTTCTTTGCTCAGGTGTACGATCCACAGCAGAATTTTTAGCAAAGTCTCAGTCAGAAGAGACCCAGGAGGAAGTGCAGGTTCTGTTGGATTCTTTGGTCCATGGCAATCCTAAGTACCAGAATCAAGTGTATAAAGGTCTAATAGCTTTGCTGCCCTGCACGTCCCCCAAAGCCCAGCAGCTGTCCCTGCAGACTCTCAGGACTGCCCAGGTGAGCCAAGGCTGCATGCTCCTGTGGTTCCGATTCAAATGCAATAATCTTACAATTACCTTCCACAGTTGCACTCCACATGGGCATGAGAAATGGGGCTCAGCCTCCCACTGCATGTCTGTTGTTCAATCAGCATTACTTCCAGAAGGCCAAGGTAGGGCAGAGAGTTCATGTCTTCCAGCAGAGTGATTTGTCCTGTTTACTTAAGGATCAGAAAGATGTTGGCAGACTTAAAAGTGGTTGAGACAAGCAACAAGGATGATGAAAGGACTGTAGAAAAGATTAAAGGAGTCGATTTGATAGGGAAAGAATAATGGTGCATTTGTAGACAGCATGTAAGTGAAGGGACCAGATCTCCAGTGCTGGGGAAGGCTTTTTTCTTGTTGGCTTTTGCCCTTCTCTCAGACAGTGCCCTAGAATGCAAGTGAAATCGGATTTGGGGCATAGTGAGCATATGAAGACATGGTGCCTTTGTAGAGAGGGGATAGAGGCTCAAAAAGTAGCTTTAAGATGAACCATCAAGCCAGGCGCATCAGCCTCCCAAGTGGCTGGGGTTATAGGCACCCGCCACCATGCCCAGCTAATTTTTGTATTTTAGTAGAGATGGGGTTTTGCCATGTTGGCCAGGCTGATCTCAAACTCGAGACCTCAGGTGATCCACCTGTAATCCCAGCATTTTGGAAGACTGCAGCAGGCAGATCACTTGAGGTCAGGAGTTGGAGACCAGCCTGGCCAACATGGTGAAGCCCCATCTCTACCAAAAATACAAAAATTAGCCGGGAGGCCGGGCGCGGTGGCTCTAGCCTGTAATCCCAGCACTTTGGGAGGCCGAGGCGGGTGGATCACGAGGTCGAGAGATCGAGACCATCCTGGTCAACATAGTGAAACCCCGTCTCTACTAAAAATACAAAAAACTAGCTGGGCGTGGTGGCCTGTGCCTGTAATCCCAGCTACTTAGGAGGCTGAGGCAGGAGAATTGCCTGAGCCCAGGAGGCGGAGGTTGCGGTGAGCCGAGATCGTGCCATTGCACTCCAGCCTGGGTGACAAGAGCGAAACTCCGTCTCAAAAAAAAAAAAAAAAAAAATTAGCCGGGCGTGGTGGCACACGCCTGTAATCCCAGCTACTTGGGAGGCTGAGTTCAGAGGATCTCGTAGCCTGAGAGGCAGAGATTACGGTGAGCCGAGATCACACCGCTGTACTCCCTGGGCTTTTAAAAAAGCAAGACCTTTCTCGTAAAAAGAAAGAAAAAGGTCAGGCGTGGTGGATGGCGCCTGTAATCCCAGCACTTTGGGAGGCAGAGGCCAGTAGATCCTGAGGATGGGAGTTCAAGACCAGCCTGACCAACATGGAGAAACCCCATTTCTACTAAAAATACAAAATTAGCCAGGCATGGTGGTGCATGCCTGTAATCCCAGCTACTTGGGAGGCTGAGGCAGATGTTGAACCCAAGAGGCAGAGGTTGCAGTGAGCCAAGATCATGCCTTTGCACTCCAGCATGGGCAACAAGAGCTAAACTCTATCTCAATAAATAAATAGACAAATTTAAAAATAATAATAACTGGGTGTGGTAGCATGTGCCTATAGTCCCAGCTGCTCCAGAGGCTGTGGTGGGAGGATCACTGGAGCCCAGGAGTTCGAGGTTGCAATCAGCTATGATGGCCCACTGCATGCCAGCCTGAGTGATCAAATGAGACCCTGTCTCTAAAACAATTCTAAAAACAGATCAGATTATCATCATTATTTTATTTCCACAGTTTCCATTTATTAAGTGCCTCATACATGCCAGCCGCTGTTAGGGGCTTATCTACACTCCCTCTCTTCGTCTTCACTACAGCTGATGGAGACAGACATTATTCTCCTTTTTCAAAGATGGTGGAACTGAGCTCAGTAAAGTGTGTTAAGTGACATATCCAAGGCCACATGCTATGTAGAAGGTGTTTACCAAGGAAGAATTTAAATCAACTGTCTCCAAAGTCCTTATTCTTTCTACATACCATTCTACCTCTTTGAAAAAGGGTAAGATATGGCCAGGTACAGTGGCGCACACCTATAATCCCAGCACTTTGGGAAGCTGAGACGGGCAGATCGAGTTTGACACCAGCCTGGCCAACATGATGAAACCCTGTCTCTACTAAAAAACAAAATTTCTGGGCTTGGTGTCTTATGCCTGTAATCTCAGCTACTTGTGAAGCTGAGGCAGGAGAATCGCTTGAACCCGGGAGGTGGAGGTTGCAGTGAGGTGAGATCATACCACTACACTCTAGCCTAGGTGACAGAGTGAGAAATCTGTCTCAAAAAAAAAAAAAAAAAAAAAATGGGAAGAAAAGAAAAGAAAAAGGGCAATGACAGTGATAGAGGGAAAACAGAAAAAACGGGGCTGGAAAAATCAAGGGAAAAAAGTTTGCATAAGGGGGACATGACCGGCGGGTCAGATGCAACAAAGGGATTCAGTAAGAGTAGAATAGAAAGACAGGCCCAGCAGGAAAAGTTTTGGTGAATTCAGAGACTGTCTTTGGCAGGAAAAATTAAATCACAGCATCCTGTCAAAGGATGAATGGGGGATGAAGAAGTGGCTTCTCTTAGGAAGCTTAGATGTAAAGGGAAAAAAGAGCAATAGCAAAGGAAGAGTTGAAGGACAATGTTGTTAAATATGGATGAGCTTGAGGATGTTTAATGCTACAAGAAGGGAACCAATGCATGGGTAAAGTTTGGAGAGACAGAAAAAAGGGGCTGTCTGATGGGATGAGGTTCCTGAGGAAGAGAAGATTTTACAATCTTGGATGAGTTCCATTCTCCTTGCCCTGTGTCCTCTCTCCCCTAGCCAGAGTAGGCGGCCTTGTTTCTGCACCTCTAGCAGGTAGCCTCATTTAATGCCTCCTGAGCTAGAGAGTTCAGTGGCAGCCTCAGCCTAGGCCCAGTGACTTATCACTGCCCTCCCTCCCTCTCCCCCATTCACCCAGGCTCCTGGCTGTTTGCAAGTCTGAGTTTCCTTTCTTCCAGGTGGACAAGATCTAAAGACTAACCACCTTGGGTGGGCACAGTGGCTCACGCCTGTAATCCCAGCACTTTGGGAGGCTAAGGTGGGCAGATCACTTGAGATCAAGAGTTTGAGACCAGCCTGGCCAACATGGCAAAACCTCGTCTTTACTAAAATAAAAGTAGCTGGGGGCCGAGTACAGTGGCTCATGCCTGCAGTCCCAGTGCTTTAGGAGGCTGAGGTGGGCAGATCACGAGGTCAGGAGTTCCAGACCAGCCTGACCAACATGGTGAAACCCCATCTCTACTAAAAATACAAAAATTAGCCAGATATGGTGGCATGCACCTGTAATCCCAGCCACTCAGGAGGCTGAGGCAGTAGAATCTCTAGAACCTGGGAGGTGGAGGTTGCAGTGAGCCGAGATCATGCCATTGCACTCCAGCCTGGGTGACAGAGAGAGACTCTGTCTCAAAAAAAAAAAAAATTAGCTGGGCGTGGTGGCAGGTGCCTGTAATCTCAGCTACTTGGGAGGCTGAAGCAGGAGCATCACTTGATCCCAGGAACCGGAGGTTGCAGTGAGCTGAGACTGTGCCACTGCACTTCAGCCTGGGCAACAGAGTGGGACTCCATCTTTGAAAAAAAAAGACTAACCACCTTGTCCTGTTGTCTGTCTTGTCAGCCAATTATTGGGACCACACACCCCAGCATCGTGGACTGCGTGCTGAAGGTTCTGGGCACTATGCACCTGGAAGTCCAGTATGAAGGTAGGGAGGCTACTCCAGACGGTAGGGGGGTGCCAAGAGCCAGCTGTCTCAGTTCTCCAGAGTTTTCTCTTAGTCACAAAGAGCCTTGATGTTGAGTATCTGGGACGGCCTTAGCAGTGGAAGATGCTGGTTCAGAAAACGTCAGTCACATCTGTGCCTTGCATCAGCCACAGGGTGCTGGAACGGTTATGGGAGTCTGCCTGGGTCCAGAGCTGGTTCTGGATCCCAGTCTTATGTGGTGCTTCCCAGCTAAACAGAAATCACCCTGAGGAATGTCCCTCTTCTCAGAAACTAAACTGAATAGTCATAGTATTAATTTGGTTGGTTGTTTTTGGTGGGTTTTTTTGAGACAGGATCTTGCTTTGTTGCCCAGGCTGGAGTGCAGTGGCACCATCATAGCTCACTGTGGCCTCAAACTCCTGGGCTCAAGAGATCCTCCCTCCTCAACCTCCCAAGTAGCTAGGACTACAGGTGTGCGCTACGACATCCACCTAATTTTTAAATTTTTTTGCAGAAACGGGGTCTCACTATGTTACCCAGGCTAGTCTTGAACTCTAGGCCTCAAGCATTACTCTCACCTTAGCCTCCCAAAGTGCTGGGATTACAGGCATGAACCACTACACCCAGCCAATGAGTTTTTATTTATTGAGAGCTTCTATGTGCCAGACACTTTCCATACATCACCTAATTTACTTCTGAAAATAACCATAAGAGGCCAGGCGTGGGGCTCATACCTATAATCCCAGCATTTTGGGAGGCAAGGCAGGTAGATCACTTGAGGCCAGAGGTTTGAGAGCAGCCTGGCCAACATGGCAAAACCCCATCTCCACAGGCATATGGTGGCATATGCCTGTAATCCGAGCTACTCAAGTGACTGAGGCACGAGAATCACTTGAACCTGGAAGGTAGAGGTTGCACGGAGCCACGATCATGCCTCTGCACTCCAGCCTGGGTGACAGAGCGAGGCTCCGTCTCAAAAAAACAGCAAAACAACAATAACAACAAGATAACCATTAGAGTACAAAGCCTGGGATGTATTAGGGATTCAAATGTTTACATGAATGAGTAGTAAAGATAGGTATTTTTGCCGGGCACGGTGGCTCAAGCCTGTAATCCCAGCACTTTGGGAGGCCGAGGCGGGTGGATCACGAGGTCGAGAGATCGAGACCATCCTGGTCAACATGGTGAAACCCTGTCTCTACTAAAAAATACAAAACATTAGCTGGGCATGGTGGCGCGTGCCTGTAATCCCAGCAGCTCAGGAGGCTGAGGCAGGAGAATTGCCTGAACCGGGAGGCGGAGGTTGCAGTGAGCCGAGATCGCGCCATTGCACTCCAGCCTGGGTAACAAGAGCGAAACTCTATCTCAAAAAAAAAAAAAAAAAAAAAAAGATAGGTATTTTTTATGTTTTTCAAGATAAAATAGTGAAGCACAGAGAGATTACATGTGCTTCCCAAGGTTACACAGCTATTGGATTCTAGCCAGATCCGCCTGACTCTAAAGTTTACGCTTTTAACATATAGCTCATGGCAGATATTTAAATAATATAATTTCCTTCCCTTTTCCTATAGTGGTTCAGAGGAAGGAGATTCTATTTTCAACAGGGGGAGATCAAGGAAGGGTTCACTGAGACGGTGTTGTCTGAACTGAGCTGTGGAGAGTGGGGAGGATTTTGGAAGGTCAAACGGAGCAGAGGAGGTCGTTCTGGAAAGGGGAATGGCAGGAAGGCAGACGTAGGGGAGTGCAGGGCGTGTCCTGGGAATAACGGGCAGGTCACTGGAGAAGGGATGATAAAGGTCGAGGTCTAGGAAAAGGTAGGCTAGGAGCAATGGAGGGCACCTTGCATGCCACGTAGGGTAGGTGTCAGCCTCTCCAGTATGCAGCATGGAGCCACTGACAGTGAGCCTGCTACAGGTGAGGGCTGAGGGAGTGCAGTGCCTCTGAAGATGGCCTGGGTGGTGCTGTGCCAGGCCGGCCAGAGCCACAGGGACACTCGAGGCTGGAGGCCAATTGGGAGGCATTGGGGGTGGTTCAAATGACAAAATAAGAATGTGCTGGTCCAGCTGGGAACATAGGCCCCAGGAAGAGAGCACAGACAGCACAGGGAACTGCCTGGTGAAGAGAATGAAGCAGTGTATGGATGTCAGAGCGGGCAAGGCCAGGAGACCAGGACAGAAAGGTCCGGTAAGCAGGAATGGTCTGGGCATCAGTATAGGGACAGGGACTCCTGTGTCCAGGATGACAGGCTGAGCCCCAGGTTCAGGAAACCTGGGGAGGAAGGCATAAGGGCCAGGCACTGAGGTTTAGCTACACAAGTGAGATCCTGGGGATGATCAACAAGGCTCTGGAGGCCACTTCCAACCTAGGCCTTTTCTGGGCAGCAGTGCCGAAACTGAATGTCAGGCATATTATTCCTTCAGCAACATAGTCGGTTTTTTTGTTTTTTGACCCCTGCAGGTCTGTGTGCATATGTGGCCCTTGTATGTTGAGAAATAATGCTGTGCTAAAATCTATTAGCAGCTGGAACAGAGTGTCCTGGCTGGAGAGGAGTCGCCAGTGAAGGAGTGGAGTGGTACAGGGACCTAAGAAATAGTCAGACCCTGCACCAGAGGGTTGTCACTGGCATTGGAGCAAGAGGATGACCTGGCAGTAGAATCGTGTTAGGAAGCTTAGTCTAACAATCCCAAAGACTAGATTGGGTAGCACTGAGAACTTCCTCTCCCCGCCCCACCTCTGTGTGGCAAACATGCCCACTCTGCATCCATCCAGCACTGCTCAGCTTAAGCACTGCCTCTCTAAGCTCTTCCCTGACCCTTCGACCCCTGCCCAAATGTCAGCCCTCCTTCCTTTGAACCACCCTGTCCCCACTTCCCCTCCTTTAACTCCCTCCATTAGGGCGGTATTCTCTAAAATGATGACTTCCCCTTACACAGACTGTGCACAATTTCAGTTCAACTGTCATGGCTTTTATCCTTATAGCCTCGGCACAGTGCCTAGCATGTCAGGTCCTCACTGCACATTTGCTGAGTGAGTGAGTGAGTGAGTGAGTGCTGCACATCGCCCTTCATTGGGATTACTCACCTCTATGCCCTTCTCCTCCAGACCTCTGAACAACAGCGCAGGTACTAGGTCTGATTCATCTCTTTCCCACTCAGGACCTAGAGCATGATGGGTACTCAGTAGAAGTTTGTTAAATAAATTCATGAAAAAAAGTCTTTTTTCTTTTTTGAGACAGGGTCTCACTCTGTTGCTTAGCCTGGAGCACAGTAGCACAGGCATGGCTCACTCCAGCCTTGACCTCCTAGGCTCAAGTCATCCTCCCACCTAAGCCTCCCAAGTAGCTGGGACTACAGGCATGCATCACCATGCCCAGTTAATTCTTTGTAGAGATGGGGTCTCCCTATGTTGCCTAGGCTGCCCTCAAACTCCTGGGCTCAAGTGATCCTCCTCCCTCTGCATCCCAAAGTGCTGGGATCACAAGTGCAAGCCACTGCACCCGACCAAAAAAAACCCTCATGCTGATGAAATCCTCCAGAGTTGAAACTGACCCCAGCTTCTTCCAATATCAGCCTAAGTTAGAGTCCTTCTGCATTTATTTAGTAACAGCTAACACTGTGGAAAAGGCAGTGGGAACATGACTCTGTGACTGCCTTTGGTTTGTTATAGAATCATGTGATAACAGTGAAACTACGTGCCCCAAGATAATTTCAGATATACCAGATGCACACACATACACACAAAAATGTCTGTTGAATGAATGTATTATTCTTATTTTAACCAGGCGCTTCAAAATAGTCTTCCTATTATTCCAAATGTAGAGAATGCATGTGCAATGATTGTCCACTCAGGGGCACTGTTTCACATGATCAGCATAGATGGGAAGTTAAGGGAGAGAAGAAATTTGCATGCCTTCAGTTGTCTCCTGAGGCAGGGAAGGAAAGTTCCGATGGGTCTTATATGTGCTCCCAACAGTGTATGACTGAAGAGGATTACAGAGTAATTTCTTTGAATTTGAGTATACCAAATTGCAAAACCAGAGTGAAGCCCCAAGATGCTGGCAGCAGTCAGCGTGGAGAAGCAGCCTGTGTCCAAGAGAAACCTGAGTGACTGCTGGGAGAAGAGTTTAGTGGGTGACAGGGACTGATCTCAGAAGGGCAGGGGTGGTTTGTTTCTTTAAACAAATATTCACTGAATATCTCTGATGTGCTAAGAACTGTGTGAGACACTGGGGTTTTGTTTGTGTTTGCCTGTTTGCATCGAGAAGGAGAAAAGTGAGTGTCTTGGAAGGAGAAGTGGGGGAGTGTCCACTCCACTCCCACGTAGTGTGTGTGTAGGGCAGGGCATGGGGTTATTGGCATCCTTCCCCTGAGAAAGCTACAGGGAAAGTGGCATCCTCTGGGCAGTGTCCACTGACAACAGGAGGTGGAGGGGCTTAGGGGCCTGGTGATTGTTTATCTTGCTGTGGGTGTCAGTGATGGAGGCAGCTGTTGGTGGCCTCACCTCCTTTTTCATCGAAAATGCCACCTTCCCCCACCACATCTACCAACCTGCCTGACCGGTAAGTCAGGTTAGCCACATCCTCTGCCCTCCTTCCCATTATGCTAGTGTCCCCGGTTCCTGTCACAGGCTCCCTCTTCTGCTTATTCTCTGAAGCACATTCCCTCAAAGACATTCCGTCTGTAGCTAGCCTCTCCCTGTTTCTCTGCTGGACCATCTCCACTGACGTGCAAATATGCTCTCTCTCTTCCATTTTTAAAAGAGGCCCTCTTTGGGAACCTATGGATTAAAAGAGATTTAAAAGACATGTACCAAAAAAAGGTAAAATTATAGCATTTAGGGAGGCACACCCCTCCTTGACCCCAAGTGGGCCCCCAGCTGTTCATTTCTTTGCCATTTCCTTCTACTTGACCTCCCAGCTGCTTTTGACCCAGCGGATCACTCCCTCGCTTTCTTTGTTGGCTGCTGTGATAGGAGTTTCCCTCCGCTCGCTGGTTGGGCCT